TCAAACGGTAAAGTGAATACTTGATCAAAATTGGACGGCTCGATGGTAGCAGAAGCATGGATCCTCTATGTTGTAGGGAAAGTGTAGAAACATGTATGTTAATATTTATCTCTCATTGATAGTTTGATAAAATTCCCTTTTTATATCAGCTCAAACATCTATTTTGTATTGGTGCCGCAAAAGATATAAGGGGAATATTTGCATCCACAATTAGCCCACGCCTTAGTGTTATAGCTAATTTTATATTTAATAAGAGGATGAGCCAGAGTGATGAGAAACAAGAAACTCCTTTTTTAAAAAAAGTTGGGGAAAGAGTATGTATATTATGCTCTCGAGTGAGCACAATTTTACTTCTCATATGACCTATTTAGGAGGAAAGCAGAAGGTGTCTACAAAGAGAACTGTCAATTTTCAAGTGTTTATATATCTACTCGATCTACACTATTTTTGAAGTTTTAAATTTCGTAATTAGAGATGAAAACAAAGTTTCAAGCCATCACAAAGATTTTTAACAGTGAAACATCTTTCAATATTATTTGAAAGCATGCCATACTTTGATGGTTTATGGGCCTCTTGTACAAACAACATCTCTTTATAAACAATCCGTTAACTCCCTCCATCGGTATGGTATGGGCTTGCATACCACCAAAATTAAGTCGAATTTTTTCCTTTTTATTATATGCTGTGGGAATGGAACAATCACCCCTCTACTGAACGCAGTCTCGAGAATATAGGTCCTTGAGAGCCAAAAATTTCTAGTCTTATGGGCTTTTTAATTGCTATTGTCAAATGTGCCAAAATAATATATGAAATAAACAATATTCTCAAAAATCGAGTTATATTTATGTGAAGCGTACATTGTACTTACGAAAACGAGGGCTATGTATGGTACTTTTGATGGCCATCTCCAAATACTTTTTTTTTTTTTATGAAAATTGATTTAAAAAAAGAAAGTATCAAGACATGCACCATTTAACATCTTATCCATTCTTGTGACTTAATTTTAAAAGCTCCATTAATACACACGTAATCATGACTCAAAATAGTTGATATTTTAAATGTATTTCGATAAATAGGTGAATTAGTACAACATAATTTACATTTACTCCCTGAATGCCTACTTGGGAGGATTTTTTTCAATTTGTAATTGCGGGAACCACCTAAGAATCGCCAAATGATTATTCTCAAAAGAAAGATTTCAAATTTATGCTTTCTAATATTTAAATCTCTCCCTTTAAAAATTGGACGGTCTCTATTCAATCTTGAGACTTTTATTTTTTAAAATTTGTACAAGGTGCAAATAGGAAATTTTTTTATTGAGGCCAATTTATTAGTTGAAGATGTTATATGCCCAAAATTTGGGGTATGGGTGGAGTTTCCACCGAGGGAGAATAGCATCTTTTGGCTTTTAAATATGCTTGATATATTTTTATGTTATTGTTTTATGCGATGTATCATGAAACTCATTTTCTTTGTTGAGAAGGAAACTTGTCAAACTACTCATAAGAGATAACGTATTTAATATTATCCTTTTTGCAAACAATTGATATATTTTTTTTTATGGTTATTTTGAAACAAATCTCTCCCTCATTGTCTCAAAGATGGTGATTTGGGCACCTATAGCCGAATCGGGATACATTCAATAAAAAAAACAGTCAAAGCTGAGAGTTTGGGGTGCAATCGGAAAATTTTGCATTGATGAAAACAAGAATTGCTTACCACCGAGTTCCAATTTAGCTCCAGTGATTATGAGTTATCGTTGTGTTGGGGGGTGGGAGTAAGGGATGAAAACTTTAGATGGGAAAAATCATCGATCCAGATTGGGATCAGGCAATCCAAAGCTTGTTGATCTACCGGGTTCTTTTGCAGAACTAAAATCAGTCCAACTCAGTGGGAATCACCTAGTTCTGTCAAAAAAAAAACCCTTGCAAATCTATTAGTACATCTGTTGTCCAGCTTAGAGAATCCAACAATTCCCACTATCTTAAATTAATTTTTTGACTTAGATGAATCAACAATCCAAATCAAACTCAGATCAGTATAGTACGGTGGAGGGTCAATGCAACACCAATAGTCCAGACCATGGGACAAGTATGAAGCCAAGCTCTCAGTGAGAGTGCATTGAAAAAGGTTAGGTTGCCAGTACATGACATCAATAGGATTCAGTAGAGCTATGAACATCCCAATTAGCCAGCAGGTCATGCTCCATGAACTCATAGCTTTTGCTATTCAATACCATCTCCTTCCATACCATGCAAAACATAACACTACAATGTATGCCCCTCGATAGGAAAGACCCCGGCAATTCGTGAACTAAAACCTCATCAGCTCTCTTAGGGCTTGCTTTCAAAATATCAAAGGGAGGCAAATATTTAGTTAAGGTACATACTTCCCATGTGAAATTGTAGTGACTTACTGTAACACTTTCTCTGCCTTGCCCTGCCCTGCCCTGCTTATACATTTAATAAAGTATGAAATTTGGAAACATTCATCCTATAAATATTTGGGAAAATTTCGTATAGAACCCTAATTTTTCGTATTATTTCATGGTAGACCTTCATTCTTTTTTTTTTTCAAACAGCATAACAAAAAAAAACTAAAGATTTCACCGTACCTCCTCATCTCTTATCTTCTTCTTTCTCAAACTTTTATTGACTTATGATCATAAAAATTAGCCC